AGGATCACCCCCTAAATGAACCCCCTATTTCAAATCCTGGTTTCAGATCCTGCTTCTGAGAAACCCTGCTTAAGACAATAGTTGTAGCAGAACTAAAACTTACGGGCTTGGGGGTGTCATCTGCAGAAGCGATTCACAGGTGACCCAGGGAGCCTCACTGAATCGCCCAGCCCTGGACACTAGCGAATCCAGCCTTCCTCTCCTGGGCACATAACTTTTTTTTTTAATTAAAAAAATGTGTGATTTCCCCTGTTGATAACCACTTGTGATGTTCACACCATAAAACATAGAATCGTGGCTTGGGCTCCACAGTTTTACTAGCCACTTCTGCACGCCTTTGACAGTTCTGGTATGTTTTCAACTGTCTGCTGTATCCACTGTCAGGCAGAGGACACGTTCCCCTGAAGCTCTGCTTGCTCATGCTCTTCCCCCAGTCCATATCAAGTCGTCCCAAGAGGGGGCCCCTGACACCTCTCCCCATCCCAAGCCCAAAGGAGGGCTGGCCTCATCTGCGGAGAGCATCTGTCTCAAGTGGGGCCAGCACAAGGTAACTAGAGTCAGGGGTGATACGGGCCTTGAGGGGTCGGTCCGGAGATCTTTCCCAGGACCGTTGGCAAGTTTAGGACTTTGCACACGAATCGTAGGCTGGCACACAACTGAGTGGAGAATCTCACGGGAGGGAGTTGGAACAAACCTTGAGTTGCTCCATGGAGATCCAGAGTGGGAGGGGACCGTGGCCATATTTGACCCCTGGGTCTCGAGAAGTTACGGGATAGACGTGCAGGTGCCAGGCTGGAGAGGCGGAGGGTTCACTGCCCAGAGGGCTAAGTCATGGTGACTTTCTCTAGGAGAGCTGGTGGGAGCTCTGAGGAGATGGGCAGGCACAGGGGCGGGGAAGGTCGGGTCCCCTCAGTTGGGGACTGAGCTCACCTCCCCCAACCATGCATCTGTGGCCTCATTGGTCTCCTGTGATGAGGAGTTAGTTTAGTGGGTTGTCACCTGCTGGATACCTGTTGACAATCTTTCACGATCATGACAGAATCATTGATACTGTGTAAGTTGGTTGCCAGAAGCTTATCTGGAAGATGGTCCCAGGAAACACCAGCAAAAGAGCAGGATAGCGAGGTGGGGAGGGGAAAGTGACAATGTGGTGAAGGCAAGGACAGGCCCTCAAGCGAGGAAGGGGAGCCCCTGAAGCAGGCATAGAGCACACACCCCAGGCTCTCCCGCCTCCGGAGTGTTTACACACCGCCCCCCCTCTGACGTGGGTGGACAGCTGCCCTGGGGCGCTGCCGATCTTCCGGCCATGCTGTCCTGTGGCTGGAACGGACATGGGGGACATGGGGGACTCTGGCCATCAGAGAAAACCTCCTGGCAAAGTAGTAGGAAAGACCCAGAGGCTATGGGCTGGGCAGCAACAGCCTCTGCTACACTCCGGTCTCCAGACACTACTCGGCCCTGGCCGCCTTGCCTGGCTCGCTCTCACCTCACAGCCCTGTTCAGAGCAGGTCCCTCCTTCATCCAGAACCTCAGCACTAGCACCCCAGAGGCTTCTGGGAGCCCTGACCATCTGTAGTGCTCATTTTGTGCTAACCCAGGTTGGGTCAGGGCAGTGTTCTCTTTCCTGGGTTAGGTTGGCTGGTGTGTGGCTTGTGTCCTCAAAGAGATAGCACCCTTGTTGGGGCGCCTGGGTGGCTCAGTCATTTAAGTGTCTGACCGGCTCAGGTCATGATCTCGAGGTTTGTGAGTTCAAGCCCTGCACTGGGCTCTGTGCTGATGGCTCAGAGCCTGGAGCCTGCTTTAGATTCTGTTTCCCCTTCTCTCTCTCTTTGTCCCTCCCCTGCTCACATTCTGTCTCTCTCTCTCAAAAAATAAAATAAAACATTTAAAAAATTATAAAAAAAAAAAAAAAAGAGAGAGACAGAGAGAGACAGCACCCTTGTGTCTTAAGCAGCTCTGAGTTGCAAGCCCAGAAAAACATTGGACACATAGTAGGTGCTCAGTAAGTGCTTATTGTTTTCACTGTCGACATGGTGATGGTGGTGGTGAAGGTGACAAGTCAGGCCGCCAACGAGCATGTCACGGGTCTCACTCTGTAGCTACTTGCTCTGTTTCTTCCTCTTCTCTTTCTCCTTCTTCCTCTTCTCCTACTACTTCTCTTCCTCCTCCTCCTCCTCATCCTTCTCCTCCTTCGTCTTCTAATTTATTTATTTTGAGAAAGAGAGAGGGAGAGGGATAGAACACACATGTGTGGGAGAAGGAGAGGGGCAGAGATGCAGAATCCCCAGCAGACCCTGCACTGTCAGCGCAGAGCCCGATGTAGGGCTCAAACTCACAAACTGTGAGATCATGACCTGAGCCAAAGTGAGGAGCCCACAAACCTGATGCTTCACTGACTGAGCCTCCCAGGCGCCCCTTGCTCTGTTTTTTTTTCCGACAGCTCACATCATCTCTCTGAATCTCTTGTCTCGTAACAGACCCTTTAGCCGGTTGTTTTAAATGGTTCCCTTTCCCTCCTTGGCACACGGGGAACCCACACTCTCCCACATCCCTGGTGGCTGGGATCAGCTGTGTGACCTAGCGATGGAACGTGGCAGAAGTGATGCCTTCACCTCAGGGGTTTGTCTTGTAAACCCTCCCAGGCACATCCTTCACTGCCTTTCTCCATCTTCCACTAAAGATGGAAGGAGCCTGGCCACTGGCACCCCTGAAGGGGTGCTGTTCAGGAGCGCCCTGCTCTCGGACACTCCCACGGGGCTGCCGTGCGGGTGGGAGATGGAGTGTTACTGTGGGAAGTCCCTCCAGTTTACGGTTAATTGTAGCAGTCCATTTAACTCCGACTAACGTGAAAATATTTATTTGTTTGTTTAATGTTTATTTATTTATTTTGAGAGAGAGAGTGAGTGTGAGCTGGGGAGGAGCAGAGAGAGAGGGAGGGAGAGAGAGAATCCCAAGCAGGCTCCACACTCAGCACGGAGCCCAATGTGGCTGGGACCCTGGGATGACGACCTGTGCTGAAATCAAGAGTCGGATGCTTGACTGACTGAGTCACCAAGATGCCCCTTATGTGGAAATATTTAATAGGGTTTTTTTTTTTTTTTTTTAAATTTCTGAGAGAGAGAGAGACAGTGTGAACAGGGGAGGGTCAGAGAGAGAGGGAGACACAGAATCTGAAACAGGCTCCAGGCTCCAAGCTAGCTGTCAGCACAGAGCCCGACGCGGGGTTTGAACCCACTAACTGTGAGATCATGACCTGAGCCGAAGCCGGACATTTAACCAACTGAGCCACCCAGGCGCCTCTATATGGAAATATTTAAAGATGAGAATAATGTCAACGTTGAATGGGCTGCCACCAACATTAATGCTATAACCTGTTTAGAAGATGCTACATTAGTTTCCTAGGGCGACCATAACAAAGGACCGCAGGCTGCATGGCTTCAGCCCCAGAAATTCATCTTCTTTTAGTTTTTTCTAGAGGCCAGAAGTTCTGGGTCAAGGTGCTGGCTGGTTCGGTTTCTTCTGAGGACTTTCTCCTTGGCTTGTGGATGTCTGTCTTCTCCCTGAGTCTTCACCTCATCTTCCAACCCTCCACCGCCGACCATGTCTGCATTCAAATTCCCTCCTCTTATAAGGACACTGTCCTCTGGATATGGGCTCACCTCAGTGACCTTGTTTTAGCTTTGTCCCCTCTTTAAAGAAACTGTCTCCAAATACAGACACCTTCTGAGGTCCTGGGGGCTAAGATTTCAAACTATGGATTTGGGGGACACAATCTGGCCCATAGCAGAACCTCAGGAAACATTCCTTCCTTTCTTCTCCAGGAAATTCTAAGACACTCCAGTAATTAAGAGTGATGTCCACAGCACATCCAACTTGTTCTGAACTGTGGTGTTCAGGAATATCGCACTGGCCCTTTGTTCAAAGTCTAATCCTTTGATGGAACAACATCGAAGATGCTATGACTCTATGATGTACAATGTGACACGTGTGAGGCCACTGCAGAAGTGGGTGCCCAAGCTGTGCTCGGTGGGGAGCCAGGCAGCAAGATGGACCACGCGGCACCCTTGGCCTTGACCTTCTGTAATTGACTTCATCTGTACTTCAGTGGGGCTTTAAGAGACCAAGTCATAATAATGACATCAACTACAATTTCTTGAGCGCTTACGAAGTGTCTGACACTTGGCTAGGCACTCCCTGCGCGTTATGTCATTGAGTTCTCTCTACGTGGGTTCTCTGGTTATCTCCCTTTGAAGAGAGGCCCGGAGCTTAGACAGCTTGCTCAAGTTCACACGGCAAGGGAGAGGCAAGGCTGGGTGGGTTGGGCCCACTGTTGTGTGTTGGCCGGATAACTTGTTGGATGAAAGGGGCAGATGTGGCTTCTTTGACGTGACAATCAGGTGCTGGCCACACCAACTGTGCTGGCCCCTGACACCTGACATTCCCATTGTTGGCTTGGGCTGGAGCCTGCCCTCTTCTGCCTTCAGGGTGAGAAAGCTCCCTCCCGCCTTCTTCAGTGTTCATCCTGAAGTCTGGCCGCCCTCCCTGTCACGGTGCCAGGGGCTGTGAGCTTTCATTCAAGTGGAATTGAGCCGAGGACTTTTGTAGCACTTCATTTACATGTATGCCAACAAGCTGAAATGTGCAGCAACCTTGGAACCCTTTCAAAGGCGGGAATAATTCCTCTGAAATAGGTCTTCCGAAAGCTTTATCTTGTCCTTTCTTTTTTTGTTAATCTTGGAGCCCCTTAGCATGTCAAAGCAATTTTCCTAATGTCACATCTCTTAGACATTAGCATGAAAGGGCTTTAAGAGATGATTTGAAAAAGAATAAATGTTGAATGAGCATTTATTATAGAGTCGCTTATGCTACATTTGCATTTTGACTCTATTTCTGCCGTGTGGGCTGGAGAGGCAGGCTGATTTGAAAGTCAATGGTGTCTAAACAGGCGACGCTACAACTCTGTTTACACTCAGCTGTTTCCTCTACGCATTAATTTACAGAAAGAGGAGATTTCATTAGGCTGATTTTTCTTGGGGAATGAGATTAAGCAGAGCCGGTGCGCGCCTCACACGGAGGTGGGATTCCCAGTGGGAGCCGAACCTGTCGTCAAGAGTCCGTGAGGCAAAGGTAAGGGGAGCCCATTCTAAGTGCTGACTGCTTTCTGCACGTGTCTTAGTAAATTAATTAGCGGTGTCCCGTCTCCTGCAGGAAGCCGGCCTGGCCCAAATGGCATAGTGCAACGGTCAGAGCCCAGCCTGGGAACAAGGCACCACGGACATGACTCCCTGAGGTCCAGGGTGACTGCTTTCATCGGTTTCCTCCTCGGAGCCACGGCAGTCACATCTCTCCTTGTCTCACAGGGTTGATACGAGAATGACATGCTCAATGGAAGCTGGCTAGTGCGGCGCTGGGCACCCAGGAGGTGCTCCATCAGTATGAGCCGGTTTTAACATTTAACGCTGTTATTGGCTTATGGGTAGAGTTTGGTCAGCGTTCCAGACAAACGACCCTGGTTTGTGCCAAGTATGGATTTTTCCACCTTTGCTCTGGAAGACCCTCATGTAGGTTCTGACCACAGGCGGGCAGGTGGGTGTGAGTGGGTCCTGGGGCCTGTGTGTGTGTGTGAGTGTGTGTGTGCCTGTGCATGTGACTGAGGGAGAGAGAGAGAAAGTGAGAGAGGGAGACAGGTCAGCTCAACACACCCCGAGGCCCCCCCAAGCATGAGCTCCCTGTCCCCTGCTCTTCCCAGCCTCCAGTCAGCCTCTGCCACTCCATTTTCCTGCAGGTTTCTCTCTGTATTTGTCCCCTCACCAGACTGTAAGCTCCTTGAGGACAGGAAATTATGAAATTTATTAATTATGAAACTATGAAATTTATTAATTATGAACATTATTAATTTTCATCGAAATCTGGCCCCCACTGAAGGCACAATGAATTCACGCTCAATCAAGTCCATTGTTCAGGCTTGGTTTTCAAAGCCGCCTCATCCGGGTCCTAAGCCAACCTTAAGTGGAGGTCCAGTCCCAGCGGTGCAGAGGGCGGTGTGGGTCGCAGCTGGGAGTTGGGGGAGGGGACTGGAGCCCCGTCCCCTGGGCAGGCCTTCCCTGGGCCCTAGTCCCTTCAGAGCACAGGGCCAAGCCCCTCACTGGGATCTGCCCAGAACTAGATCATTCCCTTCGTGTCACAGGTGGGGAAAGCCCAGCTTCCGAGAGGGGACTTCACGTGTCCCCCGGTCACGCAGGCCTGCTGGCTGAGCTAGGTCCGGCCTCCAGGTCCGGTGCGGCTGGCCCAGCACCCCTGGCAGCCTGCCAGGCCTCCTCTCTACCCTGTCCCATCTCTCCAGTGGGGCTGGATTCTTTCTGGAATGCTCCCTAAAGCCGGCTCGGGGCCAGGCTGCTCTCATCCTACACTCCTTCCCTCCGTGCCTCTGCTACCAGTGCTCCATCTCCAGGGGTCCATCCTCCATCCAGCAGCCCCCCGACCACTCTCCTGCCCCCCCCAGGGGGCTGATACTCCGCCTTCAGTAGACCTCTCACTTTCTTGTCCCTGTTTTCTTGACATTTACACAACAGCGACAGTGACATTGCTTCCTGAGCAGCTACTATGTGCTGGGTGCTGCCCGTGGCCCCATGAGGCAGCCACTACTGCCCCTCCTCCCCCCATCTTGCTGAGGAATGCGTGAGGTCACAGCTCAGCAACAGAGGCAGAGGCGGGCTTTGAACCCAGGTTGTGGGGTCTGGCCGACGCTAGGGACTCCATGATTGTCAGGTGGTCAGGCGGCGTCCACACAGGGGTCTCCTACATTTCCCCTCGTCCTGGAGCCTTCTGACGGGGGGGCTTTGCCCTGCTTGCTCTCTTCCTTCCCCACAGCCTTCCGAGCTCAGTGTTCAGGATGTCACTGATCTCAGCTGGGAGTCAGAGATGATTATCTCCCCCTGCCGCTCATCTCCCGAAGGACCTGATCCCAGCCACTGCCCTGAGACACTACACACAGTGTGCCTATGAGGGGAACCCAGGACCGTAGGACAAATGCCACCCAAAGTCCCACTGAGCCTGGCAGAGCAGGGACAACCAGCTGTGTGACTCCAGCCAAGTGACTTAACCTCTCTGAGCCTTAGCTGCCTTCAAATGGGGATAATCCTAAACCAGTTGCTTCTCCTTCCTGGGCCTCAGTTTCCTTGTCCGTAAAAGTGAGGTTGGATGGTCTATTTCCAAATTCCCATTTAGCTTAGCAGGTCTCAGACCCCCTGGTGCCAGGAGTGGGACTTGCCCCTCTCTTCGTCCCCCCATCAGAAGGCAACACAGTCCCACCTGGAGCCCTCAAGAAAGGCCCCCACAGCCCTCCAGCAGCCCTGCTGCCTGGGGCGCACCCTCCCTGTTCTGTAGGAAAAGATGGAAAGGTTGCCAATCAGAGGCTACTTGAAAATGTAATCATAAGTTTTGGCTTAGGAGGAGAGATTGAGGTGGGGGCGTGTGTGGAGAGGAAGAGAGAGAGAGGTTAGAGAGAGAGACTTGAGAGAGAGAGTGACGGGGGAGAAGAAAGCCCACTTCAAGGCCGGCCCCCCTCCCCTGGCTGGAAACCTGTGTGTGTGTGGATGAAGGGAACGGAGCAGAGGCAAAGGAGCACGCGGTGCCCACTTTGAACGGTGGCCTTTGTGCCTGCCTATTCAGGGCGGCCTCAGGACAATGGGGGGCAGACACACAGGGGAAGACAATGACAGGGACAGCGCTGCCTGCCGCTTTGCATTCCCTTTGAAGTGGCTCTGCCCTGGGCCCCTGCAGGCTCCAAAAAGAATGCTTTTGTTGCCCGCTCCAAAGATGCTGTAAGATGCTGAGCAAAAGTAACCGGAGGGGATCTGCTCGATTAAAAAAAAAATTAAAGATAAGAAACAAATCAAGCTGGCCACGTGGGGGCTGGCGGCAGCTTTGAACCCTGAGAAGAGAAGGGACATCGTGATCCAGCCCTATCTCCCCTCCGGGTAAGTGGCTGACTTCTGGGGGTCACTCTCTATAGGAGCTGGGGCCCGGGTGGGGAGTCCTAGCTTGCTGGGGTCTCCTGCAAGTTCCCCAAGCTGGATCTGGGACCCGGAAAGCCCACTCCAGTGCTGACGTTTGGGCAGAAACGTGCTGGAGGCAAAACCATAAGAACTGTGCTGTTTACTGACTTTGGCCTGTGCCAGGCATGGGGTTAAGTACTTGCTTTACGGACTGCGTGATTACCTTAAAAATGCTTTGCTCTTCTTCATGTGATGAATGCGCAAACACAAGATATCTCCACATCCTAGGGGTGGAGGTCAGCATCAGAATGACCTAAATCAGGGGGCGCCTGGATGGCTCAGTCGGTTGAGCGTCTGACTCTTGATTTCAGCTCAGATCATGATCTCACGGTTCCTGGGATTAAGTCCTGCATCAAGCCCAGAGCATGCTTGGGGTCCTCTCCTTCTCTCTCTGTCCCTCCCTCCACTCTCAAAAATACATAAACATTAAAAAAAAGAGTTACCTAAATCAGGAGTCTAACTTGTTGGGTTCTGGGCCGTGGGGAGTAGGTGGAGCAGGCAGAGCACTGCAAAGTTCCAGGGGGTGCCTTCCCCTGTGCTGCTTCCCTGATTCGTACCATGGTTGTGTCATGGTACCTGCTGGAGTTGTGCAGTGTACAACTTGTACATCTGCACATGGTGCCCCTGCCAGGGATAGTTAAGTGATATATGGAGGGTCCTCATGAGGAATCCACACCTTCAAATATTGTCATAATCAACATCAAGAATTTGTATATTAGTGTGAGGATTGTCAGAAGCAGTTTTTTCACTGGTGACAAGAATGGAGTTCAAAGTAGCTGCTTGGTTGGTAAGGCTGGACGGGCCCCACTCCCTGTGCAAAACGAGATGTAAGCCCTGGGAAGCCCAGGAGTCTAAGGCTAGGACACTAGGCTCGGCACAGTGTCTAGCTCATCGTAAGTGCTCAGTAATTGTTATAATTATCCCCATTCCACTGCTGAGGAAGCTGAGGCTCCGAGAGGTGAATTAACTCGCCCAAGCACACACAGCTGGCAAATGGTGGTGCCAGATGTGGCACTCCTGGGCCCTCCAGCGCTGGCCTCTCCTGACTGAGAGGATGCCTCTTCCACTTGGGCAGTAATGGGGTCAGATGGTGAGTTTGTGAACCATCACCTCAGGCCACGTGTGCCAAGGCCGCCTGCTCAACAGTATCAGGTACCTAGACCTTGAGCCCCAGGTCCATCAGATCTTTTAGACCTGCCCTGAGCATTCGGGGAACTCTTCATGCTTGCCATGCCCTGGGGCTGCCCCCAGAGGCTTTTTGTTCCCCAGAAAGTATTCAAAGGGGCAGAATTGAAGATCTCGGACTGATGGACAATCATCTGGGTCCCTTTTATCAGTTTTGGGCACCGAGCCCCATTTCTGTGCTGGCTCTTCTTTGGAGGACTCCCAGGGGCGGCAGCTCTCTGTCCACACCGTGGAGAGTCTCAAGTGCCTGGGAGCTTGTCCTCCAGCAGAGCAGGTGTGGGAAAGCTCCCTTGCCCAGGGCCCTTCAGAGTTCCCCAGGCGATCAGGTTGAAGCTGCCCTCTGTGGGGCTGACCGGAAATCATACCTTGTTTGGTCCCGCGCTCCCCCGTGCTGCTTCTCTGATTCGTGTCCTGATCGCACTGCACGGGCTGGAATCTCACCCGGGATCTGGTCCCTGGGATGCTGGCCCTTTAAGAAGCCCGCACGCACAGAAAGTCCAGCCATCTCCTGTGGGAACCAAAAGTGAGGTGTTCGGCTGAGCGAACTGGACAGAACAGTCTGGGGCGTCTGGGGCGTCTGGGGCAAGTGGCCCAAGGCCACTGCTTCTGGGGCCTCTGGAGGGAGGACTCGCTGCCCTGACGGGCTTCTCTGATGCGCTCAGGGAAGTCCTGCTTCTCCACTAGTGGGTGGCTGAGTCAGGACTTGAACCCAGGTGTTTCATCATAAGCGTCTGACTTCAACACAAACCTGACCCCTTTCCCCGCAAACACCCACAGCACATTTCTTGTCTGCAGGCCCAGCGTGGGGACTTTTCTGAGCTCCCCGTCTACCGACCTCCTTCCCACTGCCCTGCAGGTGAACAAGAGTGAGAGACACACACAGAGGCCCCATCAGGGACAGAGACTGTGAGCTGGCAGGAAGCAGAGGGCCTGAGAGCCCAGGAAGGGTCGTGAGCCCAGGACGGCAGTGCTTTTCCTGTCTGTCTGTCTGCCTGCCAGTGTCTCTGGGTAACCAGTGCCTTTCACTGAGACTCCTTGGAAACTCTGGTGGCCCTGGCTTGCTGGCCAAGGCCCTCCATGTCTGAGGCTGCCTCTTTAGAATTCCCCAGGGCATTCCAAGAAGTCCTCAGTGGCTCTCACAGCCAAAAGTCTGCTTATTCTCGGCTCCTGGGCACTTAGCAGCCCGCAGATTGGCATGGGGAGGCAGCCAGTGACTCCTCACCCCTCTTGTGGCCGGGAAGCCCCTGATTCAGGCACCTCCTTGTGCCCCTAGGGGTGAGAGCCTAGCACCTGAACAGCCTATTTATCAGCCTGAGCTCCCTACCGGGCAGAGCAAGGCCCGAGAGGGATGTTCATTTACCGGATCCAGTGTGTGCTACGTAATGTGCCAGGCGCTGAAGGGGGAGAAAATATGCACAGTGCCAGCTCCCTGCTATCTGGAGCATGGAGCTCAGCGTAGTGGCCTGGCAGGTCCCGAGCGGTCAGAAGCGACTGGATACCAGGCCAATAGGCTGAGTCAGACTGGCAGGATCTCAGCAGAAGGAGATCTGTTCTCAGGAGATCAGGAGGGCTTCCTGGAGGAGGGAGCATGCACTGAGCTTTGTGCATGGAGTCACAGGGCTGAAAAGAGAATCAGACCACCACTCCTGCCTTTATCCAGGCTGTTGTCCAGGCCTAGCCTTGTGTCAGACCTGTCATCTATCCCACAAGCCTGCGAAGTGGTTCTTGTCCCTTCTTGATTCTAGATCAGAGAACTGAGGCACAGAGAGGTTGCAGAGCCACACAGTTGCTGACTGGCAGGGCCCAGGTTGGAGCTGTCAGTCTGGGAGGCACACAGATCCTGCAAAGGAATAAATCACTGTCATTCAAGGCCATGTGTTCTTCAGTAGGAAGGAGACCCTCTGTAGGTGTAGGATGGAGACTGGGAGAGACAGCGAGGAAACGTAAAGATTGGGCTCTTGCAGGATGAGTAGGAGTCTGTTCAGGGCAGAGGAAGGCATTTTACGCAGAGACAAGTGCTAAAACATGAAGGTGAGAGAGAGCCATTAAGGAGGAGCTTGTGGGTGGCCTGGGTGTGGCCGGTGTGTGGGGCTGGAGGGAGACGAACCCGGGGCCAGCATTCAGCACCTAGTAGACACTCAAACATTGCTTACCGGATGAATGCATGCATGCAGGAATGAATTGTATCCCTGGTCTGTTAGTATATAAGTAGGAGTTCAGTAAATGAACGAACGAACGAACGAACTGTATTTCCTTTGCCCCTGCACGCACCAGGCACGCAAGGAGCGCTTGCTGAATTCACGACGGAATGAATGAAGGGGTGACGCCCGGAGCTCGCTGGGGGCGCTGACGCAGCCTCGCGCGGCCGCGCCGCGCGTCCCCGCCCCCACCGGTGCGCGCTCTAACGCGGAGCAGATGGCGGGCGGCGCGGGGCGGGAGGGGCGAGGCGAGGCGAGGCGAGGCGGGGCGGGGCGCCCGCGCGGCGGCAGCCGGGCCTGATTAGGGCCCCTCCCGCGGGCGGCCGCGGGCGCTTTGAAGTGAGCCGCTGCCGGGCCGCTCCGGCCGCCCGGCCGTCCCTGCCGCCAGGCCGTCGGTCCGGGGCCGGCGGCGGGGCCGGCGGCGCGTGTTTATCCAGGTGCGGGCTGGGGGCTGGGCGCGGGGATCCTCTTTCCTCCAGGCCCATCTGGGACTTCAAAGCGCGGCGCTGGGCTCAAAGGCGGCCTCGGGGTGGGGGTGGGGGCGGGGCGGGCGCGCGGGCTTCCTGCGCTTGGCCACCCCCCCCTCCCCGGGCGGGCGGGCGGCCCCTGGCCCCGCGGTCCCCCACCCCCACCCCCACCCCGGAGAGCGCTTCCTGGAGCGCGTACCGTGTGCCCGGCTGTGCTATCAGTGTGTGATTTCCTGACCTCTCATTGCCATCTAGAGACAGGCGATGCTGGGATTCCCCACTTTACAGGTGAGGAAACTGAGTCTCAGAAAGGTCGAGGACTGGCCCGGTACCTCTATGGCCATCTGACTCCCGGGGCCTCTCTGCGTCCCTGACTTTAGGAGCAGCCTTCTTCCAACTCTCTCTGAAGCTCTGCCCTCCCAGTGGTGGGCACAATGGTTATAGTTTATTATAAAAGCAGTGGCTGGCATGTCTTGAGCCCCTCCCATGTGCCAGGCGTGTGCCAGGGGTGTGCTAGTGCTTCGTCGGCCCACACCACTCTGTGAGGTGGGCGTGGTTGTCTCCCTCACTTCAGAGAGGTCAAGAAACTTTCCCAGAGCCACACAGCTATTAAATGCCAGAAGCAAGATTTGAGCCTACGGCCAGTTGGCTCCAGACTTCTCCCTCTGCCGATCAGATTCTCCCCTACTTCTTCCAAGGAGCCCGCCCGGGTAGCCCCAGGTCAGGGCTCTTTCTGTCAGCAGAGCAGCTAGTGGAAGTTAGCTGTCTACACCCTGGATACATCTCTCTTCTCTCGTTCCTCACATACCACCAGCAGCACTCGCATCATCAGAGCCTTGTTAGACATGGAGAATCTCAGGCCTCTCCCCAGGCCTGCAGAATGAAATCTGTATTTTAAAAGATCCCCGGTGAACTGGACATGCATTAAAGTTTGAGGACACTAACGTGCTGGTTAAAAGTCTGCTATTGCCACTGTTGTGGGAACCTGTTTTTGGGAGGCTGCACCTCCCTCATTGGATTGGGAGCAAGTCAAGGCAAGAGCTGAGCCTTCTGCATCAGACCAGATATGCTTCCAGTGCAGAGGCTGTGCTTCCGGGCTCTCCCTGAGCACAGGCATCCATCCTCCCCAGCCAAACTGCGAATCTAACAGAAGCAGAGACCGTGCTTGGTCGCCGGCCAGGAGCCTGCCTGAGGCTGGCGGTGCCAACCCCATCTGACTGGCAGTCTCCAGGATCCCCTGTGAAACGGCTGGCTTTGGGGTCGAGACCCACTGCAAGGAGAGGTATCTGATGTCCGTGTCTTCCAGGGTGGAGGTTGCTTTCTCTCCAGGACCCTCCTGAGCCCCTTTCTGGCCCAGGGTGTGCCTGTTAGAGGGCGCTGGGGGCGGGTGGCAGGGGAGAGGGCTGATGCCACAGTGGGACCATGTGTGCTGCCTGACACCGGGTCTCTCTGAGCAAACATTTGTCCTTATGTATCACCCAAGGACCACTCAGGCGGCAGGAAGCCCGCAGGCGGGCGCAGGAGTGAGCCTGCTGGCAGCGGGAGGGTATTTTTAGAGTTTTGACTGACGGCCCTTTATTAAGCTGTCGCTGCCTCTGCCCTGGCCCCCAGCCTTTCTTGGCCAGGACAAAAAAGAAAGCACATTGTCATTTTGTTAAGAGGAGGGTCCTGGCAGCCCTTCTGCAGTCCCTCGCCAACTGGACAGGTTATTTCTCGCTGTGTCTGGGGTCCAGGCACCCCCGTGGGTGCTCCCAGCGGGCCCCACAGCCTGACCCTTCACACATCTGGCAGTGATAAATGGCTTCGGCATCGCTGCCATCACCTTGCACCCTCTGATCCCACTCACTTTGTTCTCCCTTTAAAGCCAGTGGGCGGGTTGGGGGGGGCGCTCTCTCTTCTTCCCCTTCTCCATCAGCCGTCTCCTGGATACTTGCAGGCCTGTGCTCTGATACCACTTGAAAGGGACCGCAACAGTCACTTATCTGGTCTGGGAAGTCCGGCCATGAGTTGTCTTTGCTGGCTCGCGGAGTGTGTGGGGTGGGAGTGCTTGCCAGTGTATGGCTGTATGCCTGTACACGAGTACCTCATTCATGCCTGTGTATGCTCGTGTGTGTGTGTGTGTGCAAGTAGATCTGAGGATGTGCTTCTATGTGCCTTTTAATTACTATAGCTTTATAATTTACTTTGATCTCCAGTAGGGCAAGACCACCCCATTCCCACTGCCCACCCCCTTACAAACATCTTCTGCTCTTTTAAAATTTTTTCTTGGGGTGCCTCGGTGGCTCTGTCGGTTAAGCATCTGACTCTGGCTCAGGTCATGATCTTGTGGTTCATGGGTTCGAGCCCCGCATCGGGCTCTGGGCTGACAGCTCAGAGCCTGGAGCTTGCTTTGGATTCTGTCTCCCTCTCTCTCTGCACCCCCACCCCTGGCTTGTTCTCCGTCTCTCTCTCAAAAATAAAAAAAAATGTTTTTCCTTGATGACACAGTAGTTCCAATCTCAGGAATATGCTCAGTGAATTTGTGCATAAATGTGGATCAGAAGACAAGTATCAGAATGCTTTTTGCGAAATCTCCAAGCTGGAAACTACCCCCAATGCCTGAGAAGAGTAGAATGGTTAAATATATGGTGAGATAGGCATACATTGGGATATTACACAGAAGTGAAAATAAAAGATCGACAACTCAGGCAACAGTATGGATGAATTGCACAATCCTATGTTGAGTGAAAGAAACCAGATACAGAAAGTACATATGGTATGGTTCTAGGTATAGAAAGTTGAAAACCAGGCAAAGCTCATTGATTAAGATAGAGGCAGCATCAAGCTCTCTGCTGTCAACACAGAGCTCACTTCAGATCCTCCATCCCCTTCTCTCTCTGCCCCTCCCCCTTCTCTTAAAAATAAATAAATAAATAAAGATGGTAGTGACTACAGGGAGATAAAATGGCAGTTTCCTGGGCAGTAATCTGTTTTGTGATATGGGTCTGGGTGACCTGGGTATGTTCACTTTGTAAAACCTCATTGAGTCGTACACTTCTAATTTGTGTACTTGAGTATGCTGTTCTTGTGTTATAGTCCTCTGTAAAAATTTTTAGAATAGCTTAGTGAGTTCAATGAAAAATGCTGTTGGGTTGGAATGGCATTATATTATAGGTTAATTTGGGAAGATTTGTCCTCTTTATGACATTGGGTCTTTTCCTCCATGAACATGGTATATCTCCACTTATTCAGATCAATATTTACATGTCCCCAGTGAAGTTTTATGGTTTTCTCCAGAGTCCTGTGAATTTCTGGTCGGGTTTATTCCAAGGTGGTTTGTGTGTTGTTGTTATTGTGAAGAGAATATTTTTTTCTCTCTTATGTTTTTAGAAAAAGTTGTGGCAAAATACCTAAAAATTTACTATCTTAACCATTTTAAGGTATACAGCACAGTGACATTGAGGGCAGTCACATTGCCACATCACCAAATTCATCTCCAGGATGTCCATCTTCCCAAATTGAAACCCTGTACCCTCTGAACATGACCCTCATTCCCCTGCCCCCCTCCGACCCCCGTTCCCTGGAAACCACTACTCTCTTTTCTGTCTCTACATTTGTCTATTGTATGTACCTCATATAAGTGAAGTCAGGCAATATTGGTTCTTTTGTGACTGATTTATTTCACTCAGCATAATGTCTTCAAGATCCATTCATATTGTAGCAGGTATGTAAGAATCTCATTCCTTTTTAAGGCTGAATACTTTTACTGTTTGGGTGTACCACATTTTATTTATCAGTTCATCCACTGATGGGCATTTGGGTTATTTCCACCTTTTGGCTGTTGTGAGTCATGCTGCTGTGAACATTGGTGCACAAATATCTGTTTGAGTCCCTGCTTTCAATTCCTTTGGGTATATACCCAGAAGTGGAATTACTGAATCAAATGATAATTCTAATGTTTAATTTCTGTTTTCCAAAGTGATTGTGCTATTCTACTTTAAATTAGTTTGGCTGGTGTGTAGGAAAGTGCTTGGGTTTTTGAAAATTGATCTTGCAGTTTTGTGCATATCATTTTGTGCAGTTTTATGCATTGTGTGTGTGTGTGTGTGTGTGTGTGTGTGTAGGAGTCACACTCACAAAAGTATGACTTTTAGATAACTTAGAATTCTCTGGCTGCATGTCCTGGAAACCCCACCTTGAGCTGGCTTCAAGAGCCGGGAGTTTTAGTCTTTCACCTACCCAGACGTCTAGAACTAGGGTGGGCTGTGCCCATGATAACCAGCAGCTCAATGATCTCATTCTTTCTGTCTTGATACTACTACTACCTGCTCCCCACAAAGCCAGATGATTGTAAGATGGCTGCCGGTGACAGGGGGGCCACGGGCTTCTTTGGCCATGTCCAGGAGGACAGAGCAAAGCTCCTCCCTGGGCACGGACTATGGCTTCTTTCCTTTGCAAGCAAGTGACTCCAGTAGCCCAAAGGCAGGCCTCTGAAGGAAGTTGCAGGTTCAAGCCCCTCGGAGCAAAGCCGAGAAGCCAGCAGTGGGGCACAGCTGCGCAAGAACGCAGGAGGCACCCAGGGGGTCTAGGAGGGAACCCACACTGTCCCAACCGTAGTGTCGAGTTACCCAGAGTCCTCTTCTGCGTCTCTTTGCTCAGGCTGGCTGCTCTCATCTGCTCAAGATGGCAGCCCCGGGCCCTGGGTCCCTTCCAAACGTGACAATATCTGGCCCACGAAAGGGACCATCTTTTCCTGTACATCTCACTTCATCAGTGAAGAAACTTTTTGCAAAAGCTCCCGCCTCCTTTCCTCAGGCCTTGCTGGCTAGAATTGCGTCACAGGCAGATTCTGAAATCAGGGAAATGAGCTCACTGTGGCTGCTTAGACGAATCTAACAGACCCAAGGAACACCTTGTGCGAGCTTGTGGCAACACGGAGGGTGGACACCTGTGGAGACAGCGGTGGGAGGGGAGGAGCTGAGACTCTGAGCCTTCCCTTCTGTTGTTCTGACCTCCAGAAACCACAGTTACTCTTTGGGGAAGTGTGAGTGTGAGTGTGTGTGTGTGTGTGTGTGTGTGTGTGTATGTATGTGCGTGCGTGCTGGGGGTGGGGTCACACAGCGGGGTGGGAGGGAACTTCTGTAAGAAGCAGAGCTCAGCATCACGGGAGGAAGAGAAGGAGCCTATTCCTGGACTCGGGGGAGTGTGGGCAAAGGGTGGGATCGGAATGAGCAGAGGCATCTCTACATCCTGCAGAGAAAATGCTGGTTGCACCTGTTGTGTCTTTTATCTGTACAAGGATACAAAGGAGGAAAAGAGGAACACACTTTTATTTTATTTTACTTTTATTATTTTTTTAAATTGAAAAAATGTTTAGTTGTTTTGAGAGAGATTAAGAGTGCCTGTGAGCAGGGGAGGGGCAGAGAGAGAGAGGGAGAGCGAGAATCCCAAGCAGGCTCCACGCTGTCAGCTCAGTGCCTGACGTAGGGCTCGTCCTCACGAAGCGCAACATCATGACCTGAGCCAAAATCAAGAGTCAAGACGCTTCACTGACTAGGCCACCCGGGTGCCCCAGGAACGAGCTTTTAGATGCAGCTCAAGACTGAATGCAGTGATTCTTTCATTCATTCCACAGATGCTTTCTGAGGACCTACTCTATGCCAGTCTTGTGCCACGCACAGGTCACCCAGCTACCAGGAAAGCAAGGCTCGTGCCGGCATGGCACCCCACTGAGAGGAAACGATCGCCCACTTGACCTTCAGCTGTGGCTTGTAGCACAGCGTGGCCAGCTCAGGTGGTCAGGCCGCGTCTGTCTTATGTGCTGATTATTGCCCTCAGCTGGGTGACTCGACCCCACAATCAGTGCCAAAGTCATGTTGTTGCAAAGCGGACCTGCCTCTCAGCCGCTCCCCCTCAAAAATAATGCTCTGTCCCTTTCAAAAGTGAATAAACATTTAAAAAATTTAGATTTTTCAAATTTCCCATTTTATATCCCACATATGCATACACATGCATGAACACACTACACACACAGCTGGGGAGGGTTTAAAATTGCAGAATGAAGAGGAGGTATTGTTACTTTATTTATTAAAAAAATTTTGGGGGCGCCTGGGTGGCTCAGTCGGTTGAGCGTCCGACTTCGGCTCAGGTCATGATCTCATGGTTCGTGGGTTCGAGCCCCGCATCGGGCTTTGTGCTCACAGCTAGCTCAGAGCCTGGAGCCTGTTTCAGATTCTGTATCTCCCTCTCTCTGACTCTCCCCTGCTCACACACTCTCTCTCTCTCAGAAATAAATGTAAAAAA